TGCTTTCGTTTAGGCAAAGCAAAAACTACCTCTTTTTTCGATCCTAAGGTAGAAGTTTTCTTTAACAGCTTCCAAGTCGGGAGAGGGTACTCACCATTTTTTACATTTAGATATTAGCTTTTGCAGCTTTCCTTCAACATTTACTGAGTGCTTGTTCAGATACACTCGATTACTTCCTGCATGACGAAGACCAAGAGCGGCATTTGGGCTACAATTGTAAACGTAGTGTTGTGAGGGCACGACATAAGAAGGTGTTTGAGGTAAGATTTCGGGATTTATGTCGATTTTCCGTAATTTTCATCTTTATCATTTGCTATTCATCTTTACCTGTAGTTTTTTTTGTTGATTTCTGATTTTCTTCGTCACAAACTAGTTACGTTAATCGTACTTTCAAGATGCTCCTTTAGGATGTTCAATTTTATATTACACCCTCAGTGGAACCCAGTCGTGCTGTGTTGACAAAGTTGATTCGCTTAGCCGGTGGAGTAGTTCATGAAGATCGTCCAGCGCCAGCTGACATAGGTATGTTCTATGAACTTTTTCCTTAAGTTCCTTATTATTTCTCCCTAAACTCCTTTTTGTTGATGTTTTTTCTTCTGTTTCTAGCCACTTGACCACAACCCACTTGTTTCCCGTTTATTTTTCCTGTTTTGCTTTTGTTTTTGTTAGTTGAAGTTTCTTGTTGATTTTCGATACAAACATCAATTTCTATGGTCTTTTTTTGGGCATTATTCAGAGACCTATACTTTTTACTCATTACTATTATCCCTTTCCCATTCCCATTTGTTTTCGATCAATAACTCCCAAATGGACTTTTGTTTGGTTGTTTTATTTTGTACGTGACTTATAAATAATTTACTTATTTCCTGAGCTCTCCACCTTGAATATTTTTCTTTAGCGCGGTGTATCGAAACGGATGCGCCGTTTATAGTGATCAGCTGTGAATGTGATCTCCGAATGGTGCAGTACCTAGTGGAATGCAATTTTCGTGAGTTATACTGATTCCCTTCAGCTTCATTAACATTCTGGCTTATTACTTGAGTTTCCCTTTTGAAACTGAGATGTTTCGAGAGTGTGCTTCGCTAGGAACGAGACTCAGACAGCTCAGATTCATATGAGAAGTATATGAAAATAAGTTCCTACCTCCGCTGTCCTTGTCGCTCTGTCGCTCTTCTCGGACTACACGAATTCTATAGGGAAACTCGAAATATTGGCTGTTTTCAGCTGTCTACAACACCGATATGATACTGGTAGCAATGATGCGCCAAGAGTTGGAGCCCCATCCGTTATACCGAGTGAGTA